CTTCAGCAATAATGGCCGTGAGATGGTTATCTTCAGACAGAAAGATCAACAATCAAGGGTCTTTACAGGGGGATGACAATAGGTACTAGACACGGGCTCTGTCTCACATCCTTCAAATAGCTACACAGTAAAGAATCAGCTGCTTTTAATGTTCTTTTATTCCAAAATTCAACCTGACTCAAAATGGTCATTTTTACACACAGAAACTTTGATTTATTGTGCATCAAACTGGAAATTCTGCAAGGAATAGAACTACTGTAACAATCCAAACTATACTGTATATTCTAATGAGAAAAGCCTGTGTATATAAATAAATGAAAATATAAAAAGTACCAGGATAATAAAGAGTTTAGCACATTGAACCTGGAAGGAATTGGAAATACTCATTGATGAAGTTAAAAGATTTACTAAAACAGCTTCACCAAGTACAAAAACCAGCTGTCGCATTCTCTAGCCTTAATAGAAATTTGCTTTGCTCAAGCAAGACTTTAGAAATACAAAAATTTCAGTTATGTAGATACTAGGCACCAATTATTTCTCTCACATAGGTAAACTTAATGAATTTTTCTTTACTAGCTTAGTTTCTGGTGTAGATGAAGACTAGGTTTTAATGAACAACAAAGAACATCTAAAATGAGATATTTTTGAGCATGTTAGTATTTTTTTTCTTTTCCTCTCCAGCATAATTTTTCTGGATTAGCCTGAGGTGCCATAATCATGAGCCTACACATTTTTCAAGTCAAGCAGGTGTCATATGTGAAGGGTATCTTTGAATTTGTATAATATACTTAATACCTGTACAGCCCAGTCATACATGAATTTTATTTTAGGATCTATTGTTGCATTTGGTAATATTTTTAATAATATGGGTTGTATGAACTACAGAAGATGAAGGGAGCATCATAAATTTTAAGAATTACTGACGATCAGTGCCATCAATATTGAGACTGTATCACTTGGGAGTTTTGAAGAATTTTTCACTTTGCTTAGATATGAAGTGCCAAGGTTATAATACCAACTGCTGGATTTTATTCCATGTCTTCTTGAGTCACTGTTAATCTTTACTCATCAATAAGTTTATGGAGTACAATCAGTTACATATAATAGCAGTCCTCCAGAAACATGAACATATTATTTAAATCCTGTGACTTTATACAATAAAAATTACAATTTAAGGGGAAATATTTAAGTATGTGATTATGTGTATGTATGTGTATATACTTATATGTGTATATAATGTATACATATGTGTGTTATGGTTTGTGTCTAGCTGTCCCCCAAAGCCTCATGCAGTCATGAGGCTGGGACTTGTAGAGTTTGAGATTAACTCATGATCCACTGGGATTTTGAGTGATCCAAGGCTGAGATTATGGGTTTTAGTACTGCTGGGATTATGGGTGTGTGTACTTCCCCCAGCCTGGGGCAGAGAGCCTAAATGTAATATAAGAGAGACAGAGAGACAGACTTTCTCCTCTGTTGTCATTGTTGCTGTTACCCCACCATGAACTGGATGCTCTCTGCCGTGAGCCGCTCTGCCTGGGAGCCTGCCAAGTATGGACTGAACCCTCCAGTAACTGTGAGCTAAATAAACCTTTCCTTCCTTCATTTTGAGTGTCAGGTATTTGTCCCAACAATGAGAGAAAAGTAACTGAAACAATGTATACATGTATTTGTATGTGTATTTAATGTGCATGTGCTTACACATGCAGGCTTTGTACTTAAAAAAATTCAGACAGAAAATGTACGCTCCTTTACATTGAGAGGCTAAATGAAAGTTTGAAGAATTGTCATACCCTCATTTTTTTTTTAATCAAAAATACTTCCCTCCTTATACTGTACACTATACTCAGGTATTGACTATAAGAGTAACTTCACATTTTTCCCAATAGGTCATTTACTACAATACAACTTACAGTAAAACCATTTCCTAATTTTCTTTCCCTCCACAATTCAACATCCTTCAAAGTAAAATGTGTCTTACAATTGATAGTGTTTTACAACAGATACTAGTTTATAGCAATAATCATGAAATCCTAACTTACTTATATGTGACCCTGCTCATAGCTGAGCACTTGATTGTCTCTTCAGTTTAGTATGATACATGTGTGTACTGATACTAAGCAACAAATAAACACTAAATTCTTAAGACAATGGACAGACAAAAATCTTTTCAATAAATACAATTTCAACTAGAATCCATGTATTGTGCAGCAATTATAAAAGTCAATATTAGGTGAGATACAATAATGAGCACTTAATGAATGATAAATACAGGTGTTCTCAAAGCTCTTCAAATGTAACAATAAATGTTAAGCAACAGCTGCCTTGTATTTTTATTTTTTCCCTAAGAAGAACTTTGGAAAAAAATCAACAACAAACATGCATACACACACATTTATATCTAAGGAATCATATATGGGTTACTAGTTAGTTTCACAATGACATTAGTGTGACAGCATTGTCAGAAACCTCCCCTCAATTTGAAGCCACCTATTTTCTAGGGATACAACGAAGGCAAAAATGAACTGATTTTTTTTTTTTTTTCAAATACTAATGCATTAGTATCAGAACCTGCAGAACAAAGGTCAGGTATCTGTACCTGGTAGAAACTCTAGATTTAGGCACTTGCCTTGGTTACTTTTCTCTCATTGCTGGGACAACATTTCCTGACACCCAAAATTAAGGAAGGAGAGGTTCGTTTAGCTACAGTTAGTGGAAGTTTCAGTCCATAATCAGCTGGCTCCAAGGCAGAGTGACACGTGGCACAGAGCAGCCCTTCATGGTGGGGGCAAAGGGCAAGAGAGCAAAGGAAGGGGCAGAAGCTCAGGTAGTCAGCTGGTCTCTGCCCCTTCCTTACCTTTCTATGCAGAGTATCTGCCTCACGGCACTCACACCTATAATCCAGCATTGGATCATGAATTAACCACAAACTCATGGCTCCATGAGGCTTTGGGGGGACACCTAGATACAAACCATAACAATACTCACAAAATTCAGCTTATATTTAAGTCTCAAAGAGATTTTTCAAAGAAAGCAAAATAAATTTCTAAGAAAGTAATGTACCTGTTTTTTAAAAAATGGCAGTTATACTAATAACTTTGATGGCACAGAAGACAGCATTGAGCAGACCAATAGGTAGTAATTTCTGAGTTGGCTGTGATTCAGGGGAATCTGAAGCTGAGTATAAAGCTGCAGAAATGCCTTAGCAATAGCCTCATTTTTTATGTGTATACTGAAGATTGAAAGAATGTGTAAATGTATCTAAGAGGTAGGTCCAATAAATGTAATTTTCAAGTAACAAGAAAGCATTGTCATACTTTATTAGAATCTTTCTTCTTGTGTATGGCTGGCCTGATAGCTCAGTGGACTAAAGCACCTGCTTAGTCAGAGTGCAGTGGCCAGGGTTCTATCCCTGGCATGCTCTGTGGGTATGCTGAGATGGCTATAGAGACTGGGCACGGTGGCATGCCCCTGTAATTCCAGCACTTAGGAGGCTGAAAACAGGAAAATCACTATGAGTCCAATCTAGGTAGTGAGATCCTGAAGAACGGGGCCTAAATACAAGGGAAATAAAAACAATCTTCTTCTGGAACACAAAATAGTGATTTTTTGGTAACTAATAGAACTTTAGGTAAAATTAGTTTCGAGTATTTAGTAAGTAACAGATATCCTGGGAATGTTCTGAAACTACTGTATATTTTATTTTAGCCTTTCAAAGAACTTTGAATATAGAATTTCAGACAAGTTAATTCTAATGTGCCAATTATTTTATATTGACAATAACATATAAACAAAAGTGGCAAAGATCAATTCTTATTCCAGTTGGTTGCTTTAAAATATAAAACCATGGGCTCGGGGAGATAGGTCAGTAGAGTGTTTGCCTGGCAAGTGCAGGGTCCTGAGTTCAATCACAGGTACCAAAAAACCCAAACCAATAAACCAAACCAAACCAAATAAAAAAAAACCTTAACAAATATTGTCTGTTAGACTTTGATATGAAGACTTTTCACTCATGTACGTATATCAAAATAAGAACACATACGGAGGGATTACAGCCAGTTTTTATTACCTATAAAGTTGTTCATCTGTGTATTATATTGGTTTTCCAATTCTTTTCCCTTCCTCCTGCTGTCTGCCTTTTGGACAAACATTACTTCTTATCATTACCATTAGTATGTGGACAGAAAATAAAAAATGGAAACTAAAATCAGTCCATCTCATAACTTAATTCTGTCAAAAGGTTTATTAAGAGAGGATGAAACTAATATCCATGGTGAAATTACAAGATTATTACTCACATTTGCCCAGATAGTTTTGTGTACATACAGGAACACACATACACATTTTACTGTGAAATGGAGCACTAAAGAAAACTGATACATAAATGTTATAGATAAAAGTTTCATTTTGATGAGGTCAATAGAAACTGCAAATACTAATCAAGTTTAGAGTTTCTGTATGACTAAACCATGAAAATAAAAATTTGTTGGGTACTAATGTAGTTTGTTAGCTACAGATTTGTTTCTGCAAAAGTATTCCTGTAATACCTGGAAGACCCCAAGTTTTGCCATTTTTATAAGGATATAAAGAACATTTAGAAAATTAGTCAAATATTAGATGGACAACAGTGCTCCACAAATCCATCCTTAATAAAAATTAAAATAGTGAAAAACATCCAGGAATACCTTTTCCAAATTTTTTTTTAGTTTTTCATCAAAAGGTGGTTTATTTGCATTTTTTTGATTAATATTGATATAGTAATTATATTAATTTGCTTTACTGAAAAAGATCTAAGATATACAACATAAATGATATTTAAGATATCTTCAGCCTATACATATTTAACATATCTCCAAGTGAGGCTTATTTTTAATTAAATTAATTTCTAGATAAATTTTCTCCCTATAAGCTATCATGTCTTCTACATCTTTACAGACGAGCATTTCTTCAATGGATATCAGCTGATGGCTACTCAGATTGAAGGATGAATTGCTCTTCACAGCATTTAACATCTTCAGGGATGTTGTCACTGATTCACTCACAGAAGAACAAACTGGGAAAATGCGAGCAGTCCACAAACTGAATTGAGCCTTGCTTCCTGAAAACAGCTTGTCTGTGACTTTAAGATTCCAACTCTCTAGACACGATAGAAAACTGACTCCGAAGAATTGAAGGGACTTTATATCTAATAACGTCTTCACATTGTTTTTCAAGTTGTCTTGCACTCCAAATGCCATAGTTGAATACTTCAAGTGTTCATCTGTCTTCAAGCTTAAGGAATACAGAAAAGAATATGCAGGAACAACCGCATTGGGAATGATGGAAGAATAGCTGACAATGCAGTTTGCACCAATAGACACATCTGGCCCTAATCTGGAATACTCCACAACTGAGCCAGGTGCCACAGAACATCCTGAATCCAGTATACTGTGAATAACACAGGATGTCTTGCCAGAATGTTCTGGAATATCTGAAAGGATACTACTAAAAGCTACTGACTGCAAACCAAGCTCCAACTTTAAATTGCTATCCGAAGTAAAATGGAACAAATACTCCTCAGTTGTTCCGATGTGATAAAACTTGGAGTTATTAAGAACAATAACATTTAGTGATGTGCCTTTAAGAAGATGAAATATTCTCTGCCTCATATCTACCAAGTTGGACTCCTCTTTAGTGACATTTGATGCATTTGTGGTGTACTCCATGGTTGCTCCGGGTCCCAGTGCTTGAAGAAAGTCACCATAGGCATCTATTTCACAGCTCAGTGTGCCTATTTCTTCATAAAAAGCAAGTAACTTTTTTGCAGAGTGATAATCCATGTAAAATAGGCTATCGGTGTACACATATTCGGAGTCTAATTCAAGACACACAGCATCTCCTCGTGCAAGGTCCTGTGGACAAAAGTTTCCAGATCTACAGACAGCATTAAGTTGATGCATCTTTTCTATGCTGGGCTTATGAAGGAAACAGTGGCAACACCTATATTCAAGATCTCTCTGTTTTTTGTCATTAGATGGATCTAAGACAAACACTCCATGTGTGGTGCCTACAGTCAAACTAGAAGGATGAGCTAATGCAGTGAAGCCAGGTTTGTCAAATCTTATATACTCAAATTCTCCAATACTGTACAGCTCAATATCATCTGCACAGGTAACCACAATTCCAGGATTCATATGTGAAGGGAAATCAATGTACATGGCTAGTTTTAATTCCAACATCTGATAAATGGGATTACCAAATGGTAAAGCAGTAAAAATTTTCCCCAGAGCACTTGCACTTGGAAGACGCTGACTGTAGCCACCTAGAAAAGTATAAAATAAACAAAACACAATTTAAAAATATGTTACTGTTTGTAAGATTTTCAAAATCCAGAGGCATCTGTTACAATTCAAACTATCTCCACATGTACTGATACATATTACAACTCAGGAAAAAAACAATGTAATCAACATTAAAAATTCAAAAAGCTATTTTGTAGCCATTTGATATAATGTAGGTTTTATTTGTCTTCCAACATGGAGTCTTTATTATAAGAAATTAGTGATCTCTTTTTATTCTTGCTTTGTCTTTTCTTAGTATATATGTGTAATATATGATGTTTGCATTCCCTATGCGGAGCTGGTACATTGACACATCTTCATTCCCCTTTATATCCTTTCCCCTTCCTTCCCTCCCTACCCACCCCATCTCTTGCTGCCTGTTCCCAAGGATCTTCCTACCTCTTACTATCTTTTATTTTGCTCTTTATTTATAATTTGGGTTTCTCATGCAAGAGAACTATTTTGTGTGGAAGATTTGTTCTGCTTCACATTTCGGCCTCCAAGTAATTTAAAAGATTCTAGGTAAGGAAAAACAATTTGCATATACAATAGAGCCTATGAATTCTTCTGAAATCATAATAAGTAAAGGCCATGTACCTACATTTTAAACTTTAAATTTTAAGAATGTTTAAATTTATATATTAAGAACCTACAGAAAAGTTATAAAATATAGTATAATTCTAAATTATAACTCCAAAATATAAACAACATAATTCTCTATTAAATACTTATTTCAAGATGTAAATGTCTCTTTGAATTATTATATACACTTAAAGATAATAAAGGTAATTGATTCAATAACATTTCAACAATTTGTACTTGTTTTTCATTTAGACAGGCTTTTTCTTTAACATGAGCATGAATTAATTTCTTGAAAGTGTTCTCTGAAGTTCATTAAGTACATTGCATCGTTTCTATGTAAATATCATGAGAGGCAGCTGACAATAAAAAGTCAGATAAAAATGAGTTCAAATATGATTCCCCACTTCTTAGTCATTCACTTTTACAGTGACGCCAGGTCAGCCAAGGAAGAGCAGCACTTGCCCTACTACATTTTCTGAAATCAACAACACATAGAAAGCACTTGGAACACAGCATATTGATGAACAAGTCAAAGCTAACAGTCACTTTCTATTTTTCCCTCTTCCAAAGACTAACCACTAGTACATTTGAACACTAAAAGAACCTTCTGCTGTTCACACTGACACAGGACACTCGGTGGAACCTAAACATGTGGATGCTCAAGTCAGGGACATAAAATGACAGTGTATATGCATGTGACCTACACCTATCCTCTTTGATAGTTTAAGTCATCTCTAGATTACCAATGATATCTATCTAGTACTATGTAAATGTTTTGTAAATCATTCAATAGTGTTTAGGGAACAATGGCATATTGAGTACAGAGCCATCAATTTGCTTCCTCTTAAATATCTGCCATCTGTGGTTAGTTAAATCTGCAAATGTGAAATCCACAGATTAAAAGGACCCACTATATTTTTAATGATGTATGTCTGGTGTCTAATTAAAGTTCAAAATAAATCATTAATGATAGTGTTTTTTATAAACAAAATTATAAACTCAATGGCATTATAATTTTAGTCTTGAAACCAGAACTTAGATATATTACATTCACATCATTTTCATAAACAATCAAGATTATATATATGAATTGTAAGAATTACAAAGGGCTTTAGGAGCCCTTTTTCAAAAACATGAAAAATATGTGTTCATATGTGTGTGAAAAGTATGTGCTGTCACACAGCTGATAGTCTATGACAAAGTCTTTTTCAGGTCTCTAGCACACAGAGAAATAATATAGGGTATATGCAACCAAAATTTTCACAAACCTCAAAATTAGGGAATAGAGATTAAAAGAAATAAAAAAATAATAGAAAAAGAACAATAGAAACCAAGTTCTATACAGGGAGAAGACAAGAAGGATTAAAGGGAAAGGAGGACAATGAGAAACAAAAAGAATTAACATGTAGTAAGTAGAAGTGCAAATTCTCAATTGATAAATGTGATCATTATGTATGTAAAAACGTACAATTAAAATAAATTTTAAAAAGAAGTGTTTTTGATTAGCTAGAATTCTGTAGGCTGTTCAAATACCAAAAAAACTGTCCTTTATTCTAAATTATTTCTTTCTATATCTTCTGCTTTAAAATATCCTTCTTTATATGGTTTTGCTTCTCCTTTACATACCATTTACAAATGTCTTAAGGACTGTAGCCTTTGGAATTGAAAAATTAAACAAAAATGCAAGACAGAAGGTACTGGCAAAAGTCTAGCAGCAAGAGTGTTAAACTACTCTTTTCCCCTAGCAAAATCCCCTCTAAAGCAGTTCCAAAAAAATGATCATATTTTGATGAGTTTTTGTCTTAGGAATAAAGAGTTTCTTTTATATATATAACAAAGGTAAAACAGTATCTCAAAAAAAAAAAAAAAAGATGATGTCTGAGATAGATCTACAAATTTAAGGCTAATTGTTTTGAGAAGCATTGCAGTACCTGGATCCTACAAATATCAAGGAAAACATGACACTTTTAAAAAAAAGAAAATAACTTTTAAGAATACAAATAAATAAACGTAGCAAAGTTATTTGCATGATAGCAAAAAGTCCCTAAAGTATCAAAGGTGGACTATTCTAAAAAAAATATACATTAATAAAGTATAATTTTTACCAGAGTGAATTAAAAGTATAGTAAAGGAATTCCATTTATCTTCATATAGCTTATCCAAACATCGAAGAGCACAGAGCGTTGATCCTCCATTTCCTTGAAAATAATTTAAAAAGCACAATTTATTTCATAGATACTTACTAAAAAGTTTACAATGTTGGTAAACTTATGACTTTAAAGGTATGATTTTAACTATAATTAACTAGATCAATAGCAATAATATTGCCAAAAAAGAAAATTAATGTATATGAAAAATATCAGTAATTATTATAAAAACTCAGAGAACAGACTTTCGTAATAAGTGATTAGTTGCAATTCTTCCCAAATTTTAATACAAAAAAAGATAAAGTATATGATCTGTGACATAAGACTGTTAAATATAATCATTCATAAAATCAATTTAAATAATTATTCCATATGACATAATCAAATATATAAACCAGCTTTTCCTTTTAAAAGAAATCTTAGAACTTGGTTTATAAAACTTGTATCTTATGTACAAGTAACTCACTTGTACTACCACCAGAGACAAGATAGTTGACTTTTTCTACTTCAGATTTTCACTTATAGAACCGGAATAATACAAGTATGGACTTCAATACTGCAAGGATATAAACAACACTGTCGAAGGTAAAATAATGCTAGTGAAATATACATAAATGCTATTCACGACATCAAGGGACTTCAGTTTTAAGCACCACATGGAAAACACCCTTCATGGAAATAGCATTTAAAATATTTTGCAAAAGGAGGTAAAATGACAAAATTGATCTCAAATAAATATTAAGTACTACTTACACCATTAGACTGTTCATTTCATTCTACATTGTGGTGGTCTAAGAGAGACCATTCACACACATAAAGCAAATGTGTTCGCGTGTGTGAATGCATATATACAGACATACATACTGATTTGCTTCATGTAAATTTCTGAAGAAACCATTTACACATCATTTTTTATTCTCATTTATGTTCCTTATGTAAATATCTAAACAAACGGGGTGGTTAGATTTGGGAGGGACTTGAAGAGCTCAACTAATAAGATCCAGAGGAATAGTCCACATCTGAATATATTTTACTAAATAATAAAATACTCTTTTAAATAACATCATGCAAGTCTTGCCCTGTTAAGTCACAATTAGTAAGCGTGGCTCCTCTTCATCTTTCTGAGTGTCCATTTTCATTTATATTTCAATGACTATAAAGGCTATGGTGGGGGAGAGCAGCTTACAAACCACACAAAAGCTTTTCTTCCACGATTATTCTGCCTGCCATGAGTGTGTACACCTGACCACAAAATGCATACCAATTTTGGGTCCAGCAGGATCAACGAAAACATGGTACTGAACTCCAAGGGGTAACTCCTTTCTCTTCAGCTTTTCTGACAGCTGCTGCCTATAAGCAAGTGCCTGCTTTTCATCAGCAGCTGTTAACACAACTATGTCCCAGAATTCCCCAGCTCCCACAGGTTTGCCTGTTTGGAAAAAGCAAGAAAATAATAACAAATATGATCATTATTATCTACCTAAGGCTTGCTTATTTGATATAGAGGAAAAATGACATCTATTACTGCTTTCAAAAATATATCTTCTACTTTCAAAAATTATGGTATTATTGTAGACCTACCAGTATCATTCAAAGTAGTTCTAATGAGGATTGTTTATAAATTACTTTTTCCTTTTAGAGTACTCCTTCGTTTAGTGGCCCACAATCCCATTTACTTAGAAATTCTGAAAGAGTCAATGTAAATTATGGATAACAAAAAAGGTAAAAAAAAAAAAAAAAAAAAAAAAATCCCCAAGGAACTCATTGAAAGACAGAGCACTTTTCTTAAACAGCTAGGCTCTCTTTACCATTAAACAAGATGAAAAAGGGGTTTTTATGAATTCACAAAAGAGAGACGTGTCGGTGAGAATCCAACAGGTCTGGACATTTCACCCTTGTGCTCGCTTCGGCTGCACATATACTGAACATTTCACTGTTATCCAAAGGCTGGTCCCAGTGTTTTTTTTATTTTTTTATTTTTTTACTTTTTTTTTTTCCAACAAGTAATACACTGCATATATTCTTCTTAGTGGTTAATTGCTGTACAAGATGCGGACTTGTGATCCTCTTTACAAACACCATTAGAACAAATCATTCTATTCATTAAGAGAATGTAACTATATATCTATCCTAACCACTTTGAATACACAGATACAAAATGGACATTCATAGGTATACCCCATTTTTTTCTAAGTTCCTGTGTTTTTAAAGCAGCCACTAACATAAAAAAAGTAACAAGATTTACTAGACAGCTGTACAAGGAAATGCCACGTGGCTCAGTAGCTTTGTAAACACTGAGAAGCTTTCTAAGGCACCTGCTCTGTCTCGTTCCTGTCCCCTCGGGGTTCACATTAGAGAGCAGTTTGGTGAGGCAGGGAGGGAGAACAGAAAGGACACACTAGATCTGCTCCTAAGGGGCTAAACACTTTACTTCAGACCTTTCAGATGCATCTAAAAAAACCTCTGTGAGCTAGCCAATGTATTTTTATGGCTTCATGAGTGACAGCAATAACTTTCTTACCCTTCCCCCTTCTTTATTTTAATATCTGTTCCATCACAAAATTAAAGCAGGAATTGAACTTGGACGGGGCAATGATGGAATAACAAATTCAAAACGCAAAACATTAGCTATTTTTGAGTCAGTGTCTCAGGACTGCTGGAGACAGGAGAAAGTGACAGTAGGGCAACTCTCCTGGCAGGGCACCCTCCCTCCATGCCGCCCAGGACAGCCGTTTCTTCTTTGGTACCTCTCAGTTCTGAAAACTTCTGCAGTTTTCTTCGGGTGGCTTCACGCAGAGACACATTGAAGGGGACCCTACCGGCCGCCATAGTCTCCGCTTCCGGGTCTGAGCCCGCAGAGCACGCATGCGCACGGGACTCGGAGCGGCGCTGACCAGGACCACAGACTCTGACCCGCCCCCTTTTGCGTGCCTCACGTAACCACGCCCCCGAGCGCCTCAGCCCTGTCAGGAAAAACTGACGTAGCGGGTGGGTTCCGGGCCACGTTTCCCTGGCAACCGTTCGGCGCTGAGCATCACAGAGCGATTGGTCCGACGGTGCCGGTTCCGGGTCGTCCTTTCCCAGCTCTTAAGACCTTGCAGCCCGGTTAACCCGGTGAGTGGCTCGAGTCAGGGGAGGCCGCTGTTGGGAACGACCCCCCCAAGGAGATGAAGTGATCGTCCAGGCGCCTCTTTTCTCTCTCCAGACGGCTCCTCCCGAGTCGCCCGCGTGCAGGACGTCTCGTCAGCTAATTTCTAATCCTGGGCCATCCGAGAGAGCTGTACCCCACCCAGAGTCCACATAGTCGGTCTGAATAGTTTGGCTTTGTAGTCTTTTCGGGGAGCTTAGCTTTGTAGCATCGCTGTAGCTGCACCTCACTGGACGTGAAGCCTCCCCGCGCCCCGGATTTGGGGTCACCCCACAGCACGTGCCATCGTCCCAGAGAGAGTTGTGCAGAATCAGTCACCAATCCTGCCTGTCATTTTGGCGTTCCTTCGGTAGCTTCTCTCGCTTTTTTGATACGTGCACATCCATCTGGAACACTCCCTAAACATCTTTAGTTCAAAGCGTTGCTATGTGCGTTTTTGATACCTATCGATAGACCCTTCTTTTGTAAAGCAAAATGTTGCTAATGAATTACACAGGTTAATCTCTGGCTTTGCACATAAGAAAACTGAACCAAAGACTATTTTGTCGAGGTATCACGTTTAGTGACTGATTTAAAGAAAGTAAAGCATTCAGTTCTAGCCTCAGAACTCGTTCTATTACACCACACAGTTTTGGATTTATTTGAGAAACCACCTCTTCATTGAAGTCTTTATCAAGAATATAGTAGTTAAAGCCTAAAACTAGAACTTGTTTTAGTTTTTCTTATACAGTAAAAGCTTGACTTTGGCATTTAATTATCTTACAGTGAAAGAATTGGGTAAAAAGAAAAATTAGTCTTTCACGGTTTTGTCATTTAATCTTTTGTTAATGAAAACAAGTCATTGAAGAACATTTAGAAAATTTGAGTGAGGTAAGATTATGCAGAAGAGAAGGTTACAAAGTAGAAGTCCAGAGAGGTAGCAGAGGGACAGTGAAAGGATTTGGCTTTTTACTTTTGAATGAAACAAAGTCATTCTAGTTTGATTTGCCTCACTTTTAAAAGAAACACTTAGAAAAGTTGTGGTGGGGATGGGCTTAGGAGCTAAGCAGAGACTTGGAGGCTGTGGCCATAATGCAGGGCATCAGAGCTGGTGAAGGCTTGGTCCAGATGCTAGCAGGGTGGCTGGTGGCTAATTGGTCAGATTCTGGGTAACTTAAAGACAAACCTGCAGGTTCATAGAGTGTGTGTAGAGTCAAAGATGACTCCCTGAGGGGAGAGGGCCATCAACTAAAGTTCTCAGCGTTAAAGATGGGAAAGGTTTGTCAGGGTAGTAAGGATAGGCTGTAATTTGGTTTTAGACAGTAAAAGAAACACCTATATATTATATACTGGAACTCTTTTTGTGTGTGTGTAACTGCATTATACTCGTGTAGTTCAGCAAAGGGGTCTGGCCTAGAGACATTTTTTTCCCTTTTTTAAAAAAATAATTTTATTGTGATAGAGATAGCAATGAGACAGTTTCAAAACAAGTTAGTAGGATAGTTGCAATAATTAATACATTGCATATTTTTGTCTTTGTAGTAGTTATAGTACAAGACACAGACATAATATCTTGTCTAAACACCATTAGTGCAAATCTATCTTCTCGTTGAACTAAGAGAAAGCTGTATATCTATCCTAACTATTTTGTATGTACAGATATGTATATATTTTTCACTACAAAATGGCCCTTCATTTATATCCTCCTATTTTTGTTTAGTTTTGTGAGAGATGGATCTCCATTGCCATTCAAATACTGTAGGTATGTGAATTCAGCAAAATAATCCAATAAAGTCCAGTAGTCCATAATAGTAGTGGGATATCTTCAGAACTGGCAATGTCAGAGGTTGTTGACTTGAGTCTTTTACAGCTCAGCATATTAATATGGCTTTACTTTTTATACCTTGTTTTTATACTTTTCTGCTGGATGGTTAAAACCAAGGTAAAGCTAGGCTTATGTAAGAAAAATTTAACTTTTATATCTGAACAAGGTTAGTAAAATCCCCTCAGCATTTACCATGAAACCCTGTACAGCAGTTTGTAGAACCTTTGTCAGTGTCAGCCATGTGGATGAGTCATGGCCATTGCTTGACCAATTTGCTCATAGAGACAACAGTGTTGTGAGTTGTCAGCATGTAGATGGAATTAATCTTGAACTGTGGAACTAGATTGTGATCTAGGTGGACTACAAGTCAATAGTGTATGTTTTGGAACTCTATATTCTAAGGTGGAGTAAATAATGAAAAAACAATTAGTGAAACAACAATATGGATGAAATAGACTCTATTATATAGGATATGTAATGCAGCATTTATTATACCCAGGATGGATGACTATAGAAATAGATTTTATTTTATGCCACTATCACTACATTACTTATTATAAAAGTAAATACTTCTACCCCATTATCAGCTATGGCTTTTATTTCACTTTCTGTTTTCCTTAACATTTTCATTAATTTTTATGTAATAGCTTTTCAAAAATACTGAATCCTGAACAGTAAATATCTTTGGCAATTATGAAAGGAAGTTACAAGAAATTAGGGACTTTAAAGTTATTTTCACCTCATAAAATGTGGTATTATTTTTTAAACAGTTTTAAGCTAGAAGAGCAATACTTTAGCAGAGCATGTTGCCAAAGAAACTCTACCAGGTATCTGTCAGAGTGTTATTTAAGAAGAGTAAAATACCTCAGTCCAGCTAATTAGTAAACCCATTTATTCCTCATAAATTAGGTACACAGGAAATAATGCTATTGTTAGATTGAACATTTGAAAAGCACATGGAGCAAATTTTGCTGTCAGGGATACAGCACCACACTGACATCTTGTTAGAAGTGGAATCCTTCAGGGAGACATTTTTAGAATCTATCAGACTGTAAATTCCACAAATCCCAGATTGGCCAGCTTGCCTCTTGACTTGGACTTCCCACTTAATGTATACCTAACCTTGTGCATATCACTTTCCAAGCACTACACTTGATTCAAACACAACCTGATACCAGTTGGTCTCTTTTTAATTAATTAATTAATTAATTTTTTAATTTTTTTTTAAATTTAGCACAGGGTCTAACAGGATCTCACTACACAGATTGGACTCATAGTAATCCTCCTGTTTTCAGTCTCTGTGTTCTGTCTGTCTGTCTCTCTCTCTCTCTCTCTCTCTCTCTCTCTCTCTCTCTTTCTCTCTTTTTTCTTTTTGTATTTTGGGGAAGGGTCTACAGGGTATTCAGGGTCTCACTACTAGATTGGACTTTTAGTAATCCATCTGTTTACAACCTCCCAAGAGCTGGGATTACAGACATGCACCACCGCACCCAGTTTCAATTGCTGTCTCAGCGCACCCTGGGGGTGAGGCCAGCACCGCAGGCCCAGGGATCGAAACTCCGGCCCCTGTACCTGCTTGTAGGTACTTTAATCTGCTGAGCTATTTGGTTGACCCTCCATAGTCTTTTTTTATGTTACCCGTTTATGATTCCTTGGTCTGCAAGAGGATTGCACCCTAAAAGGAGATTTGTGTATCCCAAGGTAGTATACTTTGTGCTAAAGTCTTATTAACTTATTAACTGAAACTTAACATGTAGAGTTTTTGATGAATCAAAAAAAAATATTCCAATATGTATTTTTTTTATTGTGCCTGTTTTCTTTATCATGTAATTAATCCAGTTTCCCCTCTGGGATTTCCTTTAAAAGAATTTTGAGAATTCAGAAACTAAAGTTTTTTATTTCTTTATATTTTATTTTATTGGTACCACACGTATTTGGAGAACATTCATTCTTGATAGTTGGGACATGTATGTGACATATTTTATTTATTTTTATGCCAACTTGCCCTTTCTCTTTTCTCTTCTCTTAGTGGCAAAGTCTATTCACTTGAAAAGATTTTAAAATTTCTAAAGTCATAGACTACATTTATGCACATACGCCCCGACGTTTTGTCTGTGATATACAGTTATGGCAGTTCATCAAAACAAATTTGGTTCAGCACATCTGTTGTCAAAAACTATTTTAAAAATAACATTGATTTATTTTGTTAATATAGATGGGCTTATATATGATATTCTAAATTCATAACTATCTTTTTCATGATTTCATATTTTACATTAACATATTAGGAGCTGCTTTGATAAATTCTGGTGTGTAATGTGAAGAATTTTAATTGTTTAATAATGAGTAGTTTTTATAAACTATATTGTTGGAGAGTTTCCTGCTACCCTACGCCTGCGGGACCAGTCCCAGCCCA